GAGATTTCGTTGATTTCCTGGCTGTGACAAATGAAGTAAAAAATTATATTTGTAATCTAGATATATGTTTATAATTTTATATTTTATATTTTGCACTTTATCTCTTGTGTTTTTATTCTACTGAATTGCGATGTGAATGTGCCATACAATAAATAAATAAATAAATAAACATGGAGCATGAAGCCAGATGCCACCAACAAATCTCTTCTCCTGAGCGGTGAAACTGTTCAGGAGAGACAGCAGGTGCCTAGCCATTTACTCAGGAGCCACACATCTTAACAGAGCCCAGGACTTCACACACTTTTCAAACTTGCAACCAATGAGTTCACACACTTTCCCAAACACACTTCCTAAGCATCACACACGTTTTCCATGACATTCATTAGTTTCCTTCAATTTAACAGCAACATGCTTTCCCCATTGTTTTCCTCATGTATTCAATAACAAAGGGAAGGAGGAAGAGGAGAAGGAGAAGATAGAATCCCAGGTTTAGGAGAACAGACACTCCTTCACCCAAGTCCCAATAACTGGGGCATGTACACACTTCAGTTTCTCCCATGCAGATGGGAAATCAAATAATTCTGACCAACAGAGGTAAGAGCTTCTCACTTATACTCACACAGCTTTTTTAGGATGGCAGAGAAGAGAAGTTGTTCAATATTGCATGAAAACAACACTCAGACAAACTTCAAACAATGAAAAGTAAATGGCAGACAACAAACAGTCTCCATAAAATGAAAAGGCAACAACACGCCAATGTAGTAGCTGCATCAGGATACAGATCTTCAGGGTTCCTCTCCAAACGCAGAGGACTCACTTCAGATGGATTTCCTCCTCCTTTTTCCTGCAACCTGTCTTATATCGAGAACTGCATTGTTGTGATTAGGTAATGAGTGACAATGAGCAGGGCCTCCCACTGAGTCTAGGAGAAACCCCAAGTGGTGGATCATTCATTGGTACATCTCTGTTCAAAGTCAAAGATGGAATTTCCTTGGAATCATAAGGTCTACAAACCCAAAACTACTCCACCTGGCAGAGATTTACCCATTCTGTTCCTTCTCATCCAGACTCTGACAGCATCTAGGCCAGCGCTACCACCACATCACCTGTTTGGCCAGGGGGTGTGAACAGTAACTGGGTATCATCAGCATCTTAAGGATACCAGACTCTAGGCCAAGAGATGACCTCTCCCAACAGTTCCATGTAGATCTTAAAAAGGAGTGGTAAGTGGAGAGATCTCTTGAGCACACACAGAATAGATGTCTCTGGGCAGATCTCTCTTCCACCATCACTACCTCAGGAAGGAGGAGAACCAATGCAGAACACTGCATTCCCTCAGAGGTGTTGCAGAAGATTGCCATGGTCAGGGGTACTGAAAGCCCCTGGGAGTTCAAGGAAAGCTGCACTCCTCCAAACCTGCTCTCTCCATAAGTTATCCATAAGTGCAACCAATGCAATTTCCATGCTGTATCCCAGCTGGAAACTGATTGCCAAGGAGCCAAATCATCTACTTCCTCCAAGGCTCTCTGCAGTTGCAGAGGGTCAGCCCTTTCAGGCAAGCCAGGTCAGGAATCGGACACCGCAAAGGCTATTGGAGCTCTACAATATTGTTGTGGGGTATAAGAACAGAATCTTGAAACCTTGTCAGAGTTTCTCTCTGACTTTATGGGATGCAGAATCAAGGCAGGATTATTTTGAGTCTCTGGAGTAAAAAGAATACTGAATTCCATTTCCTGTCTGTTCCTTTGGTCCCTCTGCTCCCTGTACTCAGGGATGTGACTTTCTCCAGAACCATTATTAAAAATGGAAGGTTGAAGACAGCTCTAATGTTGTCAAAAGCAGCTGAATTGAGGTTTCCTGATCATTGGGGACACGACAGCCTCCTTCCTCCTGCCCCTCCATGGAAAATGCACCTTTTCTCCCCATTTTCCATGAGCACCTGCATTGCACATAGAATCCACCAGGTGCTCCCTCTGCAAAGAGAAGGGAACACCATGCGCTTCAGCACTGAGCCACTGGAGGGCGAATGCCAGAGGTGGCTTTCCAGTGGAGGGTGGGAAGGGAGTGATATAACTACGTCATGCCTAGCTAGGACACAGCACTCTCTCTCTTTAACCCTTTGAGCTTCACAAGAGGTAGAAAGGCTGCAGGAAAGTCTTGCAGGGAAGCGATCCAAACGTGACCTTGGGTGAGTGGAAGGCTCTTCCCCTGCAAAAGGAGGCAGAGGGTTCTTGCACTGAAGAAGGAAGAGACATGTGCCAAGTCCTCATTCAGGTTCAATCTTCTGAGTCCTGGGAGCGGAAGAGCCCAGATCCCATGTTCCCCTGCCATCCCTTTCCATGCACATAACAGGCAGGGGGAAAGCAGAGCTCCAGAACAGCCGGGCTGCCCCCAGGAACAAATCCAGGATCCCCAGGAAGGAGAGGGGATCTGAGGGAGCCCTTCATGCCCAATTTCCTAGGAAAAGCCCTTGAGGGGAGAGGAAGAGTTTGCATTGCAAATCTCAAGCAGGAAAGAAGAAAAGCTTTGAAGGAAGGAGATGCCAAAGATTGTGCCTACATTCTCACCTTGTGCTGGATGGGGCTAAAATAGGGTTGAATCCTCTGCAGTTCAACATGTCTTAGGAGGGTGAGTGAACCAGGACATCATCTTAAGCTACGTTCTTTCAGGCCCTGTGCTTTGTGTGAATTCGGCCCCTGCATTTTGTGGATATGCTTGGGCTTACAGCATGTTGTGTGAACCGCCTTGCGTGTATAGTGTGACTTGGCTCTTGAAAAGCAAACCCTGAAGAAAGGGAAATGGAACATCCTAAGCCAGGGTCATTTCATTGGCATTTCATTTTGTATGAACTGAAGTTTCATGATTTATTAACCTGTTTTTGTTTGGTGTGTTGTGTGACACCTGCTTGTAGGTGTGTTGTTGTGTGACACCTGCCTGTAGGTGAATCTAGGTTTTTAAAAAGCAAACCCTTCTGAGAAAAAAGAAATAGAAAATGTTCCAAAATGCATTTATTCAGTGTTCCAAGTCCTTGGAAGTCAATCCCATATTTTGCACCACACACACACACACACACACACAGAGGACCAGCTCAGGAAAATACTTCCTTCCATGGGGATGAGTGTTGTTCAATGGTTAAATCCACCACTTTCTAATTCTTGGAATTTATTTTCTTTTCAATCTCAGATACACAAACTGGAAGCGATTTGTATGTCTCAGATATAGACAAAATTATCTCTTGGGCAAAGAGAGCTGAATGGCCTGCCGTGGTCATTCCTGTGGCTACTGGAACAGTTCTATGAATGAAGAGGCATTTGGAGATCTATAAGATTCCTCAGATCCATTTGGAGTTGTGTTACAGGACATAGAAAGAATGAAGGCACAACCTTTAGCAAGTGAGGGAACTGGGAAAGGCCCTTCTGCTGTTCAGCCTGGGAGCTGTGGGGAGATCTGCACAAGAACTGGGCAGAAGATCCTGGAGGAAGAAACCATCTGTTCAGAAATTCAGCCACAGAACTTCAGGAGCGTCCAATACCAGGAAGCTGAGGGTCCCCGAGGACTTTGCAGCCAACTCCACTATTTTTGTAGTCGATGGTTGAGACCAGAAAAGCACACAAAAGCGCAGCTGCTGGACCTGGTTGTTCTGGAGCAGTTCCTGGCCCTTCTGCCCCTGGAAATGAAGAGCTGGGTGCTGGAGTGTGGAGCAGAGACCACCTCCCAGGCAGTGGCCCTTGTGGAAGGTTTCCTTCTGAGCCAGGCGGAGGAGCAGAAGGAGCAGGTTGAGTTGCAGGTGAGAGACCTTCATCTTGAAAGCCCAGAAGGGGTTTGAATGCAATAAACAATGTGCTTGAATTCTTAACCCCTCCCTACCAGATTTCTCTGGCATATATAATATGTGGAGATGTTTCACTAATTCTTGTAGGATATTGTTCTGTTATCCCTTCTGATGGACACTGTTAGCTTTGAAGTTGTGTTCAGAGAACAAGAATCCACTTCATGTTGTATGATATCCATTAATTCTTCTTTTTTCCTGCCTATTTCAAGTCCTTTGCTGTGGACATCAGAGATCCTGAGGGAAGAAGGAATCCATCAAATCTACCTCAGGAGCTGTTTTTCAGGAGGATCTCTGAGGAAGATCCAAGTCAGGACTCCTCAGGAGGTAATTGAAGGTCCTCCCATTCCGCAGAGAGATCCCAGCCGTCTTATCTTCTCTATGTCTTTTCTTCTACAGAATACCTCCTCCTATTTTATTAATTATGCATTTTAAAATTCTGTCTCCTTAAAAGGGAAGAATAGAATGAAGTTGTCTGTTCTTTGTGGTGGAGCTGAAACAGTGGCTGAATCTCCAACTCAAGTAAGAGGAGGAAATTTATTTATTAGATTCTCCCTTCCCTTCAGGAAGTCAAACTGGTGTACATAGCACTCTCTCCTTCCATTTTTCACTCTTGTTTGGGCTGAGTTATTTTCATGTTCCTGAGCAACATGGAAGATTCAAGTGAGATTTTTATTAGGAAATCCTTTTTTTTTAACACCATTACTTAACTCTCCTTGTGCTAGTTACTTTCCCTAGTTTTCAATAACTATTTCTTTTACAAAATCCTTCAAGAGACCCATTTTTCTTGTAATTCTTTGACTTGGAATTGTGCAAGGCTGCTCAAAAATTACTAAATACTGACACTAGCACATTACCATTTTTAAAAAGTCTTGCTTACAAGTAGTGATAAGAAAAATAAGCCCATCAGACTAAAAGATAAGGCAGACTATTAAAATCCAATGAAGGTGGCCTAATAGAAAAGTCTCTAAGTAAACATTGTTCTGAAAGAGCATGTAATCAAGCCACTTTTGGTTTGCAAAATAATTTCTAAACCTCTGATTTGTGCTTGGATTTGGAGGCCAAACAATCTAGCTTTGCAAAGACTGAGAAATGTCCTTCCCAGAAAATTTTCTCCACTTTCTTATCTCCCATTCAGCCAATGGCTCAGACTACTAGCAGCTTCCTTGCAATCTGAGGAGGAGCAGAAACTGCGTTGCGTGTCTCTGGATATTGATGGCCCCCCACCCAAATTCCCAGCTGAGCTCTCCCAGCACTTGCATGAAGGTGTTGACCATGGACAGGATTGGTCCTTCTGGGGCACCATAAGTTATTTGCTGACATGCTAGAAAGAATCCCCCCCACCCACCCAAATTTCCTTCTGCAAACACAGGAAGGATTGGAGTCACTAATAGATGGGGTTTCCAAGGCCCATCTGCCAGTTGATTCTTTTCTTTTGATGATGGATGGATGGATGGATGGATGGATGGATGGATGGATGGGGGGGTGGATATGATAGACAGATGATTGATAGATAGATAGATAGATAGATAGATAGATAGATAGATAGATAGATAGATAATAGATAGAAATAATAGATTAATCAATCCAAAAGGAAACAGGTTGCTTTCACTAAACGGCACTGAAATCCCCGCAGAATCAATCAAGTTGATTAAACCTCCCTTAAATATTTCTTCAGTCAAAGGCTTTTGGCTCTGTCCATTTTCTCACCTAAACCTTAGAATCCTACCAAGCAGAGCCATTTAACTTAGTGCATATCTTTGCTTTGGGAATTTGTAAACAATAGGACAGATCTTGCAAATCCTTCTGGGCCTGTTCTGTTCTTTTTTTCCTTGTTCAGGAGGGTCTTGTGTCCTTCAAGGAGGTGGCTGTGTATTTCTCCGAGGAGGAGTGGTCTCAGCTGGATCCTCACCAGAAAGCACTGCATTGGGAAGTCATGCTGGAAAATTGTAGGACCGTGGCCTTTCTGGGTAAGGGTTTCCTACTCCGCAATCAGAGAGTTTGGGAAGACATTTTGTAGTCAAATGCCATCAGCTATTTCTTATTAAAAAATCTCCAACCAGATGTCATCTCTTGGGAGGGAGAAAGAAAAGGTCTGACCTTCTCCTGCTCCGAGGAAGAAAAGTGGTCAATGGCTCTTTGCTTAGATGCATCCTGTGCCATTTCTGATCTTGTGAATTCTTCCATTTCTATTTCAATGTATCAGTGATAAACTCACTCCTTGGCTTGAGGAGATGCTCAACTCCATCACACTGATTTCAACTTTCTGGGCCCAGATGCTTCCCTGTCTGTCCCAAGAAGGATTGTCTTTCTTGGGTTAATGGCTTTTCTTCCTTTTCATTTCCATCTTGAGTCTTGGGATCAGGGACGAAATAGTGCCGTTTTTCCGTTGCAAAGATGCTGTTTAGGGTTAATAGAAGAACTCCAGATTTTTTTTCTCTGCAACCCTGTCATTTTGGCAAGAGGAAAATGAAAAGCAAATGGAAGATAGTTTGGATAGGAAGAAAAGGACGACTTTCAAAACTGATTTAGTTCTCACAGGTCTCTGCTGGAATTGGCCCCCCTCCAATAAATGTTAGGTTTTCTCCTAATACCTCCTGGGATGTTTCCCCTGATTCTTCCTTAAAGCTGACTCTGGGTGAAATTAGAATATATAAGGATCATTGTACACAAAAAGGATGCTTTAGATATTTTCAAAGAAATTATTTCTATACCATGCCACTGTAAGCATGCAACCCTGCAAGATATTGGAATTTGGCAAAATTTCAGAAGGAAATTCATATCACTTCCTACAGTTTGATCTTCTTCTCTAACCTTGGTATAATTTTCATTTCTCTTTTCCTTTGAAGGTAATAATGGGCAGAAGAATGAAGATTCCAACAAACCACTCCAAATTATCAGGCATGGAGATGGAACGGAGAAGTCTGCAATTCAAAT